AAATATGTAAGAACTGACTCCGGATTCTTTTTTACTTGCTGGTTATGTGTACATGCAAGCAAAATGATAGCAATTGTTGTAGATCTTCTGGAGGGGCCCTGCTCTCGGTCCCACCATCCTCGCTATCGCGTCTGGTGGGGATGAGGGACAGGGCCTTCTCGGTGGTGGCCCCTCGACTCTGGAAGTCTCTCCCACCAGAGATTAGAACTGCCCCTTCTCTCCTGACCTTTAGAAAACAGGTGAAAACCTGGCTCTGGAAACTGACATTTGACAAGTGAGTCAATAACTCATGACTACACGGACGGATGGTGATGAACTACGATTTCATTTTGACGACTTGGCCATTGCAATTATATGATTGTATTTTAGTATTTTAATGTTTTAGTGTATTACGGGATATGATTTTTTTAAACGATTGTCTGTGATACTGTTGTTGTGAACTGGCCTGAGTCCCTCTGCGGAGGTGAGAAGACCGGTATATAAAAGTTCTAAATAAATAAATAAATAAATAAATAAATAAATAAAGTAGTGTTTTGTGAGATCTGACTCTCCCAGCATTTTCAGAAATGATTCAGGATGTCTAGCTTGAGTGTGAGCGCGAATAATTGTGTTCTGAACTTGGGCATCAGACTCCAACATTTCCACCTTCAAATTCAATGCAGGAAATTTGTTCGCATTTGTATCAGCATTTGATTCAGTTCCTTTCCATGTCGAAACTGTTTTTCTTGCTTAAATGCTTAACATTTATGGTGCGAGTGTTAACAACAGGGACTGGAGGTGCGTCTTCAACATGGTAGAATTCTGTTGTAGATTGGTCACTGGAAGCTGATGGTTTAACGGATGATTTAGAGAGGATTGTGAGCTTTCCTGTGGCACAAAGTGATGGGTCCTCAAGTCTGGGAAACGATGGTTCTTTCTGTGAGAAGACCAGCTCGGAAAGTGCAAGGAATCAGAAGTAGCAACAGCAGGTAGGAAATGGAGTGAAGAGCTGAGTGATAAGGAGGGTTCCCATGGGAACCCCCCTGCAGCTACGACAATCAACAAAAGTCTTTGTTTACAAATCAGAGCCAAAAATAGATTATGCCATTTAGAGAAATTGTGTTGGAAAGTTGAGAAATAAATTTATGGGAAACAGAATGATTTCATGGGTGTCTATTAAACAAGAAGTGGTTTACCTTAAGTTCAGCTCAGGCAACACTGTGTGAGAGTGAGAAGCTAAGCCCAAGTTCTCTTTTTTGTGGTCCAAGTTAAACTTTGATTTTGGATTTAATATATCTTGGAAGTTTTCTGTGTTCATGTTCATATACTCCTGTTCAAGTGTTACTAGTTAGACCTTCATGATTGTGGACTTATGCTGTATTTGTGATTCATGACTATTTCTGGATTTTGACACCTCTGGCAGTTTATGGGATGTTTAGATTATGTATCTTCCTTTCTTATTCCTGATTTTTGATATGCTTTGATATGCTTCTACAATCAACTGTCTGCTTATATTACTGGACTCGTGTGTGGGGTGCAGTGGTGATAGGTGTTTCCAGGCCTGGAGTGCAACAAATTTAGCCTTTCATTTCCATGGAAAATACTGTATTTACTTGAATATAAGCTTAGTTTTTCAGCCCTTTTTTTAGGCTGAAAAAGTCCCGCTCGGCTTATACTCGAGGCAAAGTTATTTATTATTTTACTCTGTTGTTGTTATTATATTATTATTATTATTATTATTATTATTACATGTATCATTTTACTCTATTGTTACCGTTATTATTACATTTCCATTATTTTACTCTATTATTATTATTATTATTATTATTATTATTATTATTATTGGAAGGATGCATAAGCACATTTACATTGAAGAAGATTAGAATAATGGTTTAATCAGAGTTGGGCAGTTTTATCTTAAATTACAGTTTTATGTAAATATTCAAAAACATTTAACCTATGGAAGCCCAGTCTTTCGTGTGCCCAGGGGGGAGTCTCTCATTTGGTATCAGCCATTGGTTGAGGTTCTGGGTTTGAGCCTGCCACTTTTGGACTCTCGCTTGCTGGGGTGTTCCAGCGAGTGTCTCTGTAGATCTTAGAAAATTATTTCTTGATTTAAGTCGTTGACGTGCTGGCTGATAACCAAACAAGAGATGAGCTGGAGATGCCTCTGCCTTGGTCATTTCACTATTGGCTGCCACTTCCCGGCGGATGTCAGGTGGTGCAATACCGGCTAAGCAGTGTAATTTCTCCAGTGGTGTAGGGCGCAGACACCCCATGATAATGCGGCATGTCTCATTAAGAGCCACATCCACTGTTTTAGTGTGGTGAGATGTGTTCCACACTGGGCATACATATTCAGCAGCAGAGTAGCAGAGCACAAGGGCAGATGTCTTCACTGTGTCTGGTTGTGATCCCCAGGTTGTGCCAGTCAGCTTTCGTGTAATATTGTTTCTAGCACCCACTTTTTGCTTGATGTTCAGGCAGTGCTTCTTGTAGGTAAGAGCACGGTCCAGAGTGACATCTCCCAGGGATTTGGGTACGCTGCAATGCTCCCGTGGGATTCCTTCTTTCTCAGGTGATCCTCAGAGCTCAGGATGCTTCTCTGTTCTTGAGATGAAAAGCACATGTCTGTGTTTTAGACGAGTTGGGGATCAGTTGGTTTTCCCTGTAATAGACAGTAAGAGCACCTAGAGCTTCGGAGAGCTTCTGTTCAACCATCTCAAAGCTCCCTGCTTGAGTGGTGATGGCACAATCAGCAGCATAGATGAAACTCTCTGTCCCTTCTGGCAGTGGCTGGTCATTTGTGTAGATGTTGAACATGGATGGAGCAAGCACGCTCCCCTGAGGCAGGCCGTTCTTCTGTTTCTGCCATCTGCTTCTCTGGCCCTGGAACTCAACAAAGAAGCTCCTGTTTTGTAGCAGGTTTCCTATGAGGCTGGTGAGGTGGTCGTCCTTTGTGATATTATACATTTTTCTCAGGAGGAGGCAGTGGTGGTTCACAGTATCATAGGCTGCTGACAGGTCTATGAAGACAACTCCTGTGATCCGCTGCCTTTCAAAGCCATCTTCTATGTGCTGAGTCACGTTCAGCACTTGCGATGTGCAGCTTTTGCCTTTCCTGAAGCCAGCTTGTTGTGGGATCAGACATGGGTCTATTTTTTCCGTAATTCTATGCACAATAAGTCTCTCCAGAACTTTGTAGAGGTGGCACACCTAAGCTTAGATTCAAGTCAATCCGTTTTCCCAGTTTTTTGTAGTAAAATGATGTGCCTTGGCTTATATTCAGGTTGGCTTATACTCGAGTATATACGGTACTTACCTTGAACTTCGCTCCTACCTATATGGGTATGATATGATCTGATCTGAGGAGCATTCTATGGAATTTCCCCAATAAAGAATAATGATGGAACTCAACCCTGAGACATGATCCTGCAGCGCAGTGTTCCTCAACCTTCCTAATGCCGCGACCCCTTAATACAGTTCCTCATGTGGTGGTGACCCCCAACCATAAAATTATTATTGTTGCTACTTCATAACTGTCATTTTGCTACTGTTAAGAATTGTAATGTAAATATCCAATATACAGGGTATATTTTCATTCACTGGACCAAATTTGGCACAAATACCCAATATGCCCAAATTTGAATACTGTTGGGGTTGCGGGGGGGGGGAGGGGGGTTGATTTTGTCATTTGGGAGTTGCAGTTGATGGGATTTATAGTTCACCTCCAATCAATGAGCATTCTGAACTCCACCAGCAATGGAATTGAACCAAACTTGGCACACAGAACTCCCACGACCAATCTAGATAGATGGATAGATACATGGATAGATACATGGATAGATGGATAGATAGATGGATGGATGGATGGATGGATGGATGGATGGATGGATGGATAGATGGATAGATGGATGGATAGATGGATAGATGGATAGATGGATGGATGGATGGATGGATGGATGGATGGATAGATGGATAGATAGATGGATAGATAGATGGATAGATTGATGGATGGATGGATTGATGGATGGATAGATAGATGGATGGATGGATGGATGGATGGATGGATGGATGAATAGATGGATGAATAGATGGATGGACAGATAGATGGATGGATAGATGGATTGATGAATAGATAGATAGATGGATAGATGACCTTGAATTTTGGAGTTGTAGTTCACCTACATCCAGAGAGCACTGTAGACTCAAACAATGATGGATCTGAAACAAACTTGGCATGAATATTCAATATGCCCAAATGTGAACATTGGTGAAGTTTGAGGAAAATAGACCTTGACATTTGGGAGTTGTAGTTGTTGGGATTTATAGTTCACCTACACTCAAAGAATATTCTGAACCCCACCAAGGATAGAATTGGGCCAAACTTCCCACGCAGATCCTCCATAATCAACAGAAAGTACTGTGTTTTCTGGTGGTCTTTGGTGACCCCACTGACACCCCCTTGTGCCCCCCCCCCAGGGGTCCTGACCCCCAGGTTGAGAAACACTGCTGTAGCGATTCAATAGGGAGGTGTGTACCGAACCATGGATTGGGCAGCGACAAAGGGAAGAGCTCTCATCCGCCCGCAGTTGCTTTTAACCCTTGCCTCTTCTTTGCCCTCCTTGCGCTGAAGGCCGTATGCAAGCTGCAGAACTTCAGGTAGGTGGAACGTCCATTGGAGTTGGATTGTGACCACCTTGGCTTGCCATATTGCCTTGGGCTTGTCCAGAGGCAGCCGCTTGCCCATTGCAACCCAACGCTTTGTTGGTCTCTAATAAACATCAGCAGCAGTGTATTGGCAAGCAAAACCAACGTCTCCGTCCCATGCTACTGCTCGTGCCGCTCTTCCCAAAAGACTCGCATGTTTGCTAAGGTCTCATAAACAGAAGGAAATTCCCGCTCGCCATTGTCTGCATGCTGCCAGAGATAATGCCTCTGCCATAGTGCACTCATGCCTTGCTTCCCCCCTTTTCCCCTCCCTTCCCTCTCTATCTCTTTTTCTCCCCTAACATGGCTAGTTCTGCCCAAAACAAGCATTGAAGTGGAGTCGTTGTCGGCTCATCCCGGGGACCCCCTCCAGTTGCGCTGCCGGCTCCGCGATGATGTTCAGAGCATCAACTGGGTCCGAGACGGGGTCCAGCTGGCCGAGAACAACCGGACACGCATCACAGGGGAGGAGGTGGAGGTCAGGGACGCTGTGCCCGAGGACTCCGGGCTCTATGCTTGCATGACCAACAGCCCCTCGGGAAGCGAGACCACCTACTTCTCCGTTAACGTCTCAGGTTGGTAGCTGGTCCTTCAAGGCTGAGGGATTTCAAGCCAGGTTTGTCATTGCAGGAATCGCTGGGAAACTCCAGATTCCCTTCTTGGTCTACCATTTCACAGCCTATAATTATTCGGAGGAGAGCTCAGTTTGAAAAACGATATATGTTTAACTTCTCGGTGTGCTTGCCTTTGGGATAGGATGTTCTCCATTCCATACGGAATCACACCAACGTTTCCTTTGTGTTTAAGCAAATGTGTAATGTACCACTTTTCCATCCCGTTCAGGCATGGGCAAATTTGGGCCCTCCAGGTGTTTTGGACTCCAATTCCCACAATTCCTAACAGCCTCAGTCCCCTTCCTTTTCTCTCTCATACCAGACCTACTCATACCGAGGCTTACTAATACTGAGGCCTATCTCACACTGAGGCCTTTCACCCACTGAGGCCTTCTAACACTGAGGGCTCTCTCAGACTGAGGTGAACTAGCACTTAGGCCTCTCATATTGAGGCCTACTAATAATGAGGCCTATCTCACACTGAGGCCTTTTGCCCACTGAGACCTTCTCACACTGAGGGCTCTCTCAGACCGACGCCTCTCTCACACGAAGGTGAACTAACACTTAGGCCTACTCATATCGAGGCCTACTAATACTGAGGCCTATCTCACACTGAGGCCTTTTGCCCACTGAGGCCTTCTCACACTGAGGGCTCTCTCAGACCGACGCCTCTCTCACACTGAGGCGAACTAACACTTAGGCCTACTCATATCGAGGCCTACTAATACTGAGGCCTTCTCACACTGAGACCTTTTGCCCACTGAGGCCTTCTCACACTGAGGGCTTTCTCAGACTGATACCCCTCTCACACTGAGGCGAACTAACACTTAGGCCTACTCATAACGAGGCCTACTAATACCGAGACCTTTCTCACACTGAGGGCTCTCCCAGACTGACGCCTCTCTCATACTGAGGCAAACTAACACTTAGGCCTACTCATAACGAGGCCTACTAAAACTGGGGCCTATCGCACACTGAGGCCTATCTCACACTGAGGCCTTTTGCCCACTGAGTCCTTCTCAGGGCTCTCTCAGACTGATGCCTCTCTCACACAGAGGTGAACTAACACTTAGGCCTACTCATACCGAGGCCTGCTAATACTGTGGCCTATCTGACACTGAGGTCTTTCGCCCACTGAGGCCTTCTCACACTGAGGGCTTTCTTAGACTGATGCCTCTCTCACACTGAGGCAAACTAACACACTACGGCCCTTAAGCTGAAGCTTAAGTGGCTGGGGGGGGGGGGGGAAGAAAGGGCCTGAGGCTGATAGGAATTGTGGGGGTTGGAGTCCAAAACACCTGGAGGGCCCATGCCTGCTCTAGATCTAGGACAGTAGTTCTGAAATTCTAGGTTTCCAGGGGTTTTGGACTTCACTTCCAGAAGTCTCATCCAATGCATATCATCTACAGAAATTCTTGGAGATTCTGATCGTCTTTAAGACTGTGTATGCTCAGCATGTGTGGCTGAAAACAGTGACATCTGTACTCCAAAACAGTAGCAATGGAGATGCACGTGTTCAGCCTCACAACTGGCTTGCGTGCATTCAAGTTAGATCTCATGCCCATCTTTTTATCTCTCAGATGCTCTTCCATCCGCTGAAGATGACGACGACGACGACGATTCCTCCTCGGAGGAGAAGGAGGCAGACAACTCCAAACCGAACCGTATGTGTTAGATGAATTCATTTCTCTTGTTTGACTTCAGTAACTTCAATATAGTGTGATCCCTGTATCCACGGTGGACATGTTCCCGAACTTACGCTGGAAACAGGAAACTATGAAATATTGCAAACCTTATTGCAATGAATAACTTATCTAGCAATCGGCTAAGTCTTCTAGTGAAACTGTGATTAATTCTAGTTTTGTGTGCGTATGTGTGTGTCAGGAGTGACTTGAGAAGCTGCAAGTCGCTTCTGGTGTGAGAGAATCGGCCGTCTTGCCCAGAGGATGTTGCCCAGATGTTTGATGTCTTACCATCCTTGTAGGAGGCTTCTCTCATGTCCCCACATGGGGAGCTGGAGCTGACAGAGGGAGCTCACCCTATCCTCACCCAGCACTCCATTTCCCAATGCCTCCCTGAATAGGAAAACAAGTGGCTTTGCATGTGCCAATTGCTGGATGTTGCATAATTCCTTAATTTTAATTTTTTTGCAGAAGCGATTCCACCTTACTGGACTTATCCAGAGAAGATGGAGAAGAAGCTCCACGCAGTCCCGGCTGCCAAGACAGTGAAGTTTAGATGCCCCTCCAGTGGGACCCCCACCCCTTCGTTGCGCTGGCTGAAGAATGGCAGGGAATTCAAACCCGACCATCGTATCGGGGGGTACAAGGTAGGGGTTCCTCATCCGTCTTTGGTGCTCAATCCCTGTAACGACCCTTTGGAGGACAATATCTAGAGAGGGGTTGCTGCTATTCAAGTGTGCTTCGTTCCCAAACATTGTCGTATGGATACTTCCTATTCTGTTTTTTTTCCTTGTGGCTTGGTTTCCTTGTTTTGAATTTATTTATTTATCTATTTATTTCGTACATTTCTATCCCGCCCTTCTCCCCACAAAGGGACTCAGAGCGGCTTCACATTGTCATCAACGATGCTTACA